CATCTATTGATTTTGACACAAGTGGACTCATGAAATTGTCAAGTACTAACCTATGCAAGCATGACCATCAGTGTCCAACTGATGTCCAGAGAAACAGTAACACCTGTAACTACCTATATTGTTCTCACAGTAATGTGCACATGCGTTATCTTCCATTGAACACTCATTAATATCTATTAAATCATAGGAATTAGTAGAGAAAAACTATATACTAATTAACCATGACAAGCATAATTATCATCGCCCAAGTAATATCCTGTTTGGCACTTGCATTCATAACTTCCTTCAGTATTGTGACAAATATCTCCACACAAGCCATCTTTATGTAGACATTCATCAATATCTAACTCAGATCAGTAATGCTAATTATAATTCAATTATTATTACCTATGCAATATAAATGGTCACATAAATGATAGCCAGTAGTACAAGAACATTCAAAACTTCCATTAGTGTTAGTACAGTTGTGATCACACCCTCCATTATTAGTATTACATTCATTGATATCTATAATTAAAGAGTCAAAGCTACATATCAGAGATTTTCAATACCTTCACAATTTTTGCTATCAATCAACTGATATCCTTCAAGACACTGACAATGATAACTACCTTCAGTATTAATGCATATATCTGAGCAGCCTCCATTATTATCATTGCATTCATTGATATCTGAAAATAAATCAAAAATTATAATGAAAGAAATTATGCAAACCAAAACAATTATGTTCTGCCCATAGCTCATATCCTGTATTGCAGGAACATAAGTAGGAGCCAATGGTGTTATTACATTTTTGATCACAAAAATTGTGCTGATTACGACATTCATCAATATCTATACATGAATCAATAAAGCATCAAAACAAAACGATTCCTACCAATACAAGTTGTGTTAGTTGTGGTGTTCAAAGTGAATCCATTGTTACATGCACAGTAAAATGAACCATCAGTATTGATACAAGTATGTTCACAAATGCCAGGAATAGTTTGACACTCATTAATATCTAATTATTCAAAGACTCCATTGCAAACATTTTGCACTCTACAGTTATACCTTGACATGTGATCCCATTAGATTTCAAAAGATAACCAGTATGACATGAACAATTAAATGAGCCAGGAACATTGATACAAACTTGATCACATGTGTCAGTACCCATTGCACATTCATCATTATCTGTGATTAAAATAGCTATAAAATCTTAATATTACTGGTATCTTAACCTATGCATGTATGATTGTCATAATTTAAATAATAGCCAGATTCACATTCACAGTAGTAACTGCCTTCTGTGTTAATACATGTGTGATTACAACCAGAAATGCCAAGATCACATTCATCAATATCTGCAGTAATAATAATTATTAATATAATTACCTTAATGACTACTTATGTACCTTTGCATGTTATTTTATTGTCACTTAAAGTATAACCAGTTTTACAGCCACACTGAAATGAACCCACAGTATTATTGCAAATCTGAT